TCTCTCTCTCTCTCTCTCTCTCTCTCTCTCTCTCTCTCTCTCACACATTATCCCCCTTTTACACCAACCCACCATTCCTTCCATCAGCATACTGCAATGTTATGATCCCCAGATACCACAGATTATAATAATATACACTTGAGGACATGCCACTCTCTAAAATAATTAGTGCCCTCTGTTATTTACATAGGCAGGTTTGTACTTTACATTTTTCCACATTATGATACAAAGATATATACCTAGCCTTTGTAATTACTCACTGGGGTTGCAGGGGTTGGTCATGATCAGCAGTTTGTACTCGCTCACATTGTTGTTCTGGATCACCTACAGAGAGTTAAAGTAATCTTTTTTAACCCTATCCATATGTCATGTTTTACTGTCGTATCCATACGACGTGGGGAACTCTGTGCTACCACTTTCCAAAGAGGAAATGTACTCCTTAATCCGAAATGTAAGCTTTGCAAAGCAGTCTGTCAAAATGATTTTTTGAGAATATAGAAAGTTTCAAAGAGATCTTCTTACTAGAAGTATTCTAAAATGTGAAGAATACAACCTTGGGGATATAAAATGACCCCAGGGCGTACGGAGAGGGTTAAGAAGGATTTTTTTTAAATGTCCCTACCGATACCACTTAGATCATTTATGAGGCAGGCCTTGACCCCCGCCTGTCAGAGCTGATCACAGCAAAAAAGAGACGGAGACACTTGCAAGAACAGAGTTCACATCAAGGGAATCCGGCTCCTCTTCCTTTGCATGAAGCTGCAACCAGTCTTACCACTACATCACAGATGCCAGTTTTTGAACAGGTATTTCAGAAAACAAAGTCAGAAAAGGTTTTACTTCCAGAAAAGAGAAGCACAGCAACACATTTAAAATAACAGTAGGAACATGTTGTTGCAGAACGTTTGTAGATCTGCAAAACATAATAAAGGTCATGTTAACACTTTGCAGATTACGTTAAAAGCAAAATCCATGCCACTCAGAGAAGAAATCTTCCAGAAAATAAATATTTCCAGAGGCATGGGAAAAATATTGTGTATCTTACTAAGTTTCGAACATGGAACTTCTGTGAAGTAGATTAAGTTTATCATCCAGGGCACAGAAATGTTGTCTCTTTCTCTTGTAGTTTTGTTGACCGCTCTTCTTAAGCATTTCATCTCACAAGTGACCAGTTTCCAAAGCCCTAGAGAGGAAACTGGTCACTTGCGAGATGAAATGCTTAAGAAGAACGGTCAACAAAACTAGAAGAGACAAAATTAAAAATGAAGTCATAAGGGACACCATAGGAGCAACACCAGTCCTACCACACATTGAACAACAAAAGGTCAAGTGGTTCGGACACCTCACGCGGATGCCCTCAAACCACCCAGCTCTGAGAGCATACAACATTAAATATTCTGGATGGAGAGCCAGAGGAAGACCAAGGCGACGATGGAGTGAATCTGTGGCAGACACCCTCAGAGCTC